TTTGTTCACTTGGCCCTTTGCAACATACAGTTTCACGGTGTTCCGATTAAGGAGAGATTAACGGGAAAGATGAAGACAAGATGGAGAGGCAAACAGTGACCTGCTTCCCAGGCTTGCCTCCCAGGACATCCTCTTAAACTTCACCATAACCTTCATTCTCTCTATCAAGGGATCCGTCTGGTTTTCTTCTCTGTCCTTTACACCATACGCTTTACATGAGAGCCTCGACAGAGCCTTTCCTGACCAGAGATTCATGCACCCCCATAGGTCATCCACTACACAATATACTTTGCAGGACACCCACATATTTTCCCCTCTGGCCCTTACTGTGCTCTGGTTGTTAACAGATAGCCAAGACATATAAACATCTACAAGCCTGCCCATGCACCGGGCATGCCATCTTTCTCTGAGGATGTCCATGTATTCCAGAGGAGCAGGAAGTTGGAGCAACATGAATTAGCTTGTAGGAGGACTGGCTCACAGCTGTCTTTAATTCCTGACCATACAGCAATAGAACTGTCCGGGCTTCATAATCACACTTCACTTTGATTGTGAGTCTTGGACCTGCTGGGATGACCTACGTGTTCCTAAGTGTAAGAGAGCTGTGGTGTGCTTTACAGGGAAACTACATGGGAGATGAGCTTTGTTCAGACATACGTTCAATGTTAATAAATCAACAATATGTATTAAATAAGAAACCTTTAAACAGAAAACACACAAAAAAACAAGGTTATGTGTGGATCTATTGATGAAATGTTGTGATCAGAACCTCACAAGAACCTGACGCTGCATTTTCCCCTGGGAGCTTGATTATGAGTTTTGGAGCTGCTGGGATGACCACAACGAGCTCCTAGAGCAGTTTAGTTTGCCTGCCTTAGAAGTCAATTAAACACTAATGGTCAAGCAGGATTACTGGTCCCCAGGGCTTGAAAAATAGCCAGTGACCCAGCACTAAAATGATGCTCTTTCCTTGAGAACTGCCTTGAAAGGGCTGAGTGAACTCCTGGAGAGGAAGGACGTGGTTGCCTTATCTTTGTGTTCCCAAGCTTGCAGTGCTCGACATAGATGGTACCCACCACTGACACTGGGATCAGGATTTCACAGACTTAGTGATAAGGGATTCTCAAACAACCATCTGAACTAAACTAAAATGGAAGAATACTAAGTAGATTCAAATGAAACAAAGAAGAAATAAGGGGAGAGGAAAAGAGAAAAGGATAAATTATGTAAATCCAGTCCATTCTTGTTTTGCGAGATAGTTACAGTCTATAAAGTCAACTCTAACACTGCATTAGGGAATACTGAACCACTGCTTCCCAAGGAAATACAGGATTAGCCTGTGAGTTTACAATCACAATGTTTTTGTCAACTGATCAATACATAACTTTGTTTTGTGTGTGTTTTCTGTTTAAAGACACCTTATTTAATATACACTGAGTGGCCAGATTGTTATGATCTCTGAATGCATAATAAACTGGCTACTCAGTGTATATTCTATATAATAAAAGGCTAATATGCAAATTGTCCCCTAGATCAGGAGTTTGACCAGCAGGCAGGCTGGCCAACTGCCCATGTCTCCTCTCCCTGGCCAGGTTGGCTAGACCCCGCCCATGCACAAATTCATGCACCGGGCCTCTAATATATATATATATTAGAGGATTCATATATATATATATATATATATATATATATATATATATACACACACACACACACACACACACACACACTCTGAGTGGCCAGAATATTATACGTTACAGATAGTAATAATCTGGCCACTCAGTGTATATACTGTTGGTTTGTTAATATTGAACTCATGTGTGAACAAAGCATATATAACATGTATTTTTGTTGTAAAGCATTTCACAGCTCTTTCGCACTTGGGAATACTTGGCAGCACTTCACAACAGGCTTAGGGGCCATCTGAAAGAGTGAAATCACCAGCACAAAGCACAAAGCACACATATGCAAGACACTTGTCATGAAGTAGAATGCAAAAAGGACACTTGCTCAGCACAAGGACTGAACAGAAGGCAGAAGAACATGGCCCTCAGCTGGGAATGTGTGCATTGGAAGAACCAAACTTTTTACCATTCCACACATGCCCACAAATGACCACAGAATTACTAGTACTGATTTTGAGGTTATAGTAAATTTTAACAGGTGAGCAAATATGCAAATACAGAATATTTTTTATAATGAGGATCAATTCTGAGTGTGTGTGTGTGTGTTTATCAAACAAAACTCAAATCAAACCCCAAAAGAGATGTTGATGCTTCAGACAGTGCAGACACACTCAGTCATCAAGTCAGGGACAGTAAAGATACAAGCAGACCGAGGACAAGTAACAAGATAACAGACCCAGAGTCATCCATGTCACCACAGACCAACAGTGTGGTTGTGTTGACTGTGGACACACTTTGTTACCATATTCCACTCTTAGCTTCTCTCTCCAAGATTCCTTAGAGTACATTCCTGGTTCATGAACAAAACCCCTGCCTGCAAGTCCTGGAATTATGGACAGCATGCTGCTTTTGTCTAGTTCAAATTGTTGTTCAAGAATCCCTTGTCACTTTTGTCTGTGAAATCCTAATCCCAGTGTCAGTGGTGGCTACCGTCTTTGTCCATTTTGTCATCTCCCACACTTGGCTCCTGGCATGAGAGAACCAATCCTCCCTCCACCCAGATGGTCACCCAGCCTTCTTCTTTTTTCTTTTTTTAAAATATATTTTATTGATTTTTTACAGAGAGGAAGGGAGAAGAATAGAGAGTTAGAAACATCGAGGAGAGAGAAACATCGACCAGCTGCCTCCTGCACACCTCCCACTGGGAATGTGCCTACAATCAAGGTGCATGCCCTTGACCGGAATCAAACCTGGGACCCCTCAGTCCACAGCTAGACGCTCTATCCACTGAGCCAAACTGGTCAGGGCACCTCACCCAGTCTTGTCCCAAGGATTCAGAGCCTGCAGGTGTGTCTGAGGGCAGCAAGCACAGATGCACAGAGATTCGAGCTACTCTAGTGAAGAACTGACCTCCAACATGCCATAATCCAATCAGCAGCCACCTAAGGGTCCTATCTTCCAGAGCTGAACTCAGTAGTAGGTGGCTGGGAAGAAAGGAGACTTGGGGTGGTGTCCATAATTAATCAAACAGCCCCAAGAGCTGTTTCAGACCTTTGGTGAGATGTGACATAAGGCGGTGAGTCTCCATATCAGTAGCTCCTGCCCAATGTCTGGATCATAGATGCTCATTAAAATCTGATGAGGGAATGAATGAGTGAAAGAAAGCACAAAAGGAGGGTGGCTGGCTGGAGAAACTCTTGTTTATTTTATTAGGGAGGGGTTCTACTAAGAACGTCAGTGTTGACCCATGACGCTAAAAAATAATATATGTCTCTTGAACTTTATGTTTTTTTTTCAAAGCATTTTTTTATATATTCCGGTTAATCCTCAGATTAACTGTACATAGGAGAGGGATTAGATATTAATGTACCCTGTGGTTTGGTTGAAGTAACTGTAACATAGAAAAGTCAAGAGATTTGAGCAAGAACATACAGTTAACGAATGGGAGACATGGGCAGTTGGCCAGCCTGCCTGCTGGTCAAACTCCTGATCTAGGGGTTTAACGAATGGCCAGCTACACAGCTCACACATTTCTGACTGGTTTCGTGATAGGAAGCAGACCCTAATGTGTGCCCAGACTCCCCCTGATCACTCATCCCCAGCTCCTCATCCCCAGACCCTCGGGGGAAGGCTCCTCGTACCCTCGGCCCGGGCTCTGGAAGGCCCACCCTGAAGGAAGTGCAGGCTTCAAGCCGGAGGAAGGAGAGACCTGCAACAGAGTCAGAGCCAGCGATGCTGCTGGTCTGGTTCCCCAAGCCGGTGAGCAGGCTGCCGGGAAGCCAAGCGGGCATCCCATGCCAGGCCAAACAGGCAATTAGCACCCACAGAAACCCCGCTGCCCAGCGATTACTCAAGGCAATGAAACTCCAGGCCTGCTGGTTCCCGGGACAGAGCGCAGGTGAGCCTGGAGCCTGTGTTCATAGAGAGCCCGGGAGCCCCTGAGCTAACGGGGATCCACACAGGTCCCAAGCCCCTGATTCACTCTGTCCTCCAAGCAGAGAGCCCTGCAGGTCAGGGAGCCAGGCTGACCTCCATGTCCTTGTTTTGGACTCGGTTTGCTATTTCCTCCTTTGATGGCTGCAGCCCTGCCCTTCCCTTTGCCTACCTCCACTCAAAACTCCTTTCTGGATACCTTCCTCAGGTTTCTCTCCCTCCAATATATGCCCAGAGCCAGTTCCTCACGGCTCCCAGTCCCACAGTTCATCACGTTCCCATCCTCCTTTCCTGGCTTTGGATGGGAACTTCCTTCATTCCCTTACCGGTAATTTCCTCATCCAGATCCCTTTGGCAATGCTGCGCTCACAGAGAAGGAGAAGAGGCAGCTGGTAGAGAAGCTGGCGCTGGCCAAACGTGACACCGCTGACACTGCCTGGGCATTCTGAGGCCGGCTTCCCAACCCCGGGCAAGCAAGCCGCAGGGGAAGGAAGATATGGGCACAGATCAGCTGTGGAGGTCCGGCCAGGAGTGCGGTTTCCCTCGTTCCAAGAAATAGTTAGATTTGGACGGGAGGGCAAGCTCTGAGGTCAAGGCTTCTCCCAAGGACGTGCCTGTCTCGTGGATTAGAAAGCTGTTGATGTCAACTGGGGAGGAAGCTCACTGGGAAGGACAGACACGTGGGTCAGTGCAGAGTGCTGTGGGCCAAGGGGACCTGCACAGTGACCTCAAGAAGGCATTTTTCTGGGAGGGTCAGAGGGCACAGATGGAGCGAGGAGAAGAGTGGGAGGAGATACCCTTACCAAGACCCTGTGGCTCCCAGTGGCTGTGAGAACTGGCATGTGCCGTGGGCATGGTGAGGAAGGAGACACGGAAAGGCAGGGGTTTTCTTCACGGGAAATCTTGCTTCCTCTCCTCCTTCCTGCCTCGGGGAGGACTCACCTGAAGAAGCCTTTGCAGCCTTCACAGGTCATAGCGTTGAAGTGAAAGCCCGTGGCCCGGTCTCCGCACACCCCGCAGATCCGAGGCACGTTCCGGTCGAAGTCGCCGGGGTCGGGCAGGGAGGTGCTGGCCGCCATCGCCTCCATCCCTGCTGGAACAGCGGCAGGTTGTGACCAGAGCCAGGGTCAGTGCCGGGGCCAGCGGGCATCCTTGGCACCCCCTGCCCCCATCTCCCGGGAGCTCTGTGGAGCTGGGAAGCTCCCTGAGGCCTGAGCAGGATTCCTTTGGTGCCCTCACTGCGTGACTCTCCACACCCCAGCTTACCCTCCTGGTCACCAGCAGGAGCAGAGCTCCCTCTCCCAGGAAGTAAACCTGTGGGGGGCGCTGTGGTGAAGGTGCTCACAGCCTGGGTGCAAAGGCTGCCTCTGCCACGTGCCAGCTGGGCTACTCTGAGTGAAGTGATCAGCTTCTTTGTGCCTCACTGTCCTCGTCTGAAGAATGGACTTTTACTTGAAAGGATGAGAGGAAGGACTATATGAATGAACATATGTGCACCACTGGCGTCAGCTCCCCTGGCATCAGCAGCAGGTCAGAGCCCTCTGTGTTGCCCAGTGCCCAGTGCCCCCTTCAGGAGAAAGGGAGAGGACTAATAGCCTTAGGCCTCACATGCAGTGAGGACCTCTCATCCCCTCGGTTCTTGAAGGTGAGGGAATAAAGGACTGACACCCAAATCTGGGCCCTTGCCACTCCTGTCCCAGTTCCTCACAGCCATCCGGCTCAGGACCCACGGGCCTCGTGCCCCTGCTGCTCTGTACCAAGGTAATCAAGCCTTTTCCCTCTTCTCTCCCTCCCCCACACTGTATAAATTTAGCACATTCTTTTCAATGTCCTTCTGAGTAATGTGAGTCATATACAAAGAACCGATTTTGTTTTCAGAGATGGCTTTTATAGATAAGCATTATCATCTAGAGATGGATTTCAAACTTGAGAAAAGGGGGAAAGAGATAGAAGGGACAAACTATAATAGTTCAGAGAAATCCTTTTCGGGAAGCAGCTGACGTAACTCTCCCATTAGGCACCCTGGGTCCTTTGCTCCACCTGCTGCCTCTGATCCTGAACACGGTCAGCCTCAGAGCTGCTTCTGGGGTACCCCGGGCCTCCCTAAAATGGGGTCAGACCCTGCTGCCTCCCATTTTATTTGAGTCCTTGCAAGGGTCATCACAGGTGTAAGTGGCCCCTTGGCCGCACAGTAAGAGGGTCCCTCAGGCCAGAAGAAAAATAAGAAAGCCAGTTACGAGGGGATAAGCCCCCTTCTCCCTCCCCACCATGTCCTTTCACCCCGAGGTGAGAGCGGTAGATTCTGGGGGCCCATGATGGCTCAGAGCTTCTTTTCCATGACCAGGCACATGCTCCCTGGGCCAGGGTTTGACACATCAAAGCCCATGAGAGTTTTATTTCATTTCATCTTCATATCACCCCAATGCAGGAAGTGCTATTATTACTCTCTTTACACATGAGGCCCAGAGAAGCCCAAACCTTGAGGTATCTCTAGCAACTATGATTACAAAATGCACAAAACAAATACTTAATGTTTTTAAAGTTCCACAAAGAGCTTCAAGCCAAGGGAAAGAAGTGGGACGGATAAGGATACGGGATGTCAGTCCCAAAGGCACAGAGCAGCCCTGATCGCAGACAGGTGTGGTAGGCCCCCTAACTTCCTCCTTCAGCTCCGCTTTTCCTGGGAATTTTAACGTAATAATAAAGTGACACATTACCTTTCCTTCTGCAGCTAGATTGACACTTGCTCAACTGTAATGTTTATATATACTGACAGGGGAGGGAAGAGAGAGAGAGAGAGAGAGAGAGAGAGAGAGAGAGAGAGAGAGAGAGAGAGAGAGAGAGAGAGAGAAAAACGCTTTAAAAAAGAACAAGGCAGCAGCAGCTCTGGCTGGTGCGGCTCACTGTGTTGAGTGTTATCCTGTGCACCAAGAAGTTGTAGGTTTTGATTCCTGGTCAGAGCACATGCTCAGGTTGCAGGCTCAATCCCCAGTAGTGGGGGGGATGTTGTGTCCTCACATTGATGTTTTTCTGTTTCCCAATCCCTTCCTCTCTCTCTAAAAATCAATAAACAATTAAAAAAAAAAAAAAGAGAATAAAGCTATGATTAACAGGAACCTTTGAGGGAGTGAAAGGGGCACAGGAAAGGGCATGAGGAGGCATTATGTAGTAGCCACCATCTATTTCTTTGAGTGGTAAGTATATGGGATCTTATTATTAAAACACTGTCTTTTGTTTTATACGCCTATCTGTATATATAAAACATTTCACAAGTTTAAAACAATTCAAAAATGAAAGAAAAAGGGACTGTGGGTCTGTCAAGCGTGTCCATAGAATCCGCTTCAAGTCTAGGCTGGCTCCTGGGCTACCAGAGACTCACCCCCCCCCCGCCCCCTAACGTTTGGGCAGGGATCCCGGAGGCCCAATCGCACTGCAGGACAACAGGAGAAACTGTCTAGGAGGCCTGTGGCTTAACCCCAGGTCGGCTGAGATGTCGCAACTCCCTGTCACCATGACGTTGCCACAGAGTCTGCATCATCCAAGAGCCCAAACATCTGGTGGAAAAGAGAAGTCAGATGTGGGGGTGGGGAAACGTCAGTCAAACCCGTGTAAGAAATGCTCGGCATCACATGGGCTCATTAGGAGATGTTACAAGAGGGCTGGGGAATGTGACATCAGCAAGACTCCTGGCAGCGGCTCTGGGTGAGGCAGGCCAGAGGGCTGGGCCCGGCAGCCAGCGGCTTCCCGAGAAAAGCACCATTTTCGGGTGAGCTGTGAGAAAATGCAGCCCTGCATGGAGTATTTTGCTGATGCTAGGAAGCCAGAGTCGGGGACTAGAGTCCAGAGGTGGAAAAGAGGCCTAAGCAGCTACGGCTGGGAGCCTGGCAGTCCTACGAATGGCACACAGGCAGAGACTGGGGGGCAGGAGAGAGAAAGAGGAGCTGCGAGCAGGAGAGGAGACGTCACCATGAAGATGGTCCCCGGGGTCCCAGCCTGGGAGGCAGCCGGCCCCTCCCTCTGAGCCCCGACTACCCCTCCGCCAGGTCTCTGGGCCTCAGCTGCGGGCCGCTTCGGATTCCGCTGACACAGGACCAGCCCGCATGTGCGAAGCCCAGCACTCTCCATGGCCCATCCTGCCCCGGGAAGCAGGAAGTCAGGGTGAGCGCCCACCTGGAGGAGCAGGGGGCAGGTAAGGCGAGTCCAGGGCTGCCCTTCTGTGAGGTCTTGCAGACACTTCTGGTGGAAAGGGCTCTGAAAGGAAAGGAGAGGGCACATTTTATTGACAGCTCAGCGCTGGCCTCACAGCTGGGCCTCTGAGGAGCCCAACAGGCCGCGGACAGAGGCTCTTTCCAGGGACTGAGACCTGACAGAAGTTACTTGTTGAGGGCAGGCCTGCTGTGTCACAGCGGCAGGGGTGAGGGGGCAGGAGCCAGACAGCACGGCCTCCCTGGGGCGGGCAGAAGCAAGGAGCAGCGAGGGCAGTGGGGGCTGGAGGTTCCTCCCTGGCACAGAGGGGGTCCGGGGAGGAGGGCTTCTTTATAAGGGGGCACTCTTGCTCCATGGCTCTCACCCAGGCGTGAGGGGTGTTCGGAGAAGTAGAGCCACGGGGTGGCCTGGAGGACACCCCATATCAGACACAGGGGAGCCGAGGGGAGCTGAGGGGAGCTGGGGGCCGGCCCAGGGCCTGGCCGGCGTCAATGACAGGTGTCTGGGATCTCCTGTCTGTGGAGACTGGGTGTAGGCAGCACGGTGCTGCAGGGGTTAAATCCAGCTGCGCACTCGCAAACAGGATGTTTTCTGCCACTTTTAGCTCTTCCCCAGACAGTTTCTTAACTCCCCCGGCCTCAGCGAGGGCTGAAGGTGACGCTGCTGCCCAGTATCTGGGTTTTAGTGGTGTGATGGGTCACCAAGGTGGGGCTGGCAGAATTTCACCCTCCCCACTTCCATCCACACCCAGCCCCGCTTATCCACCCGTAGGCGCGCGTGCGCACACACACACACACCACACGCCCTCCCCTCACTGATGCCAACAGGAGGTGGCTGGGGAGATGAGAGATATGCAGGTGTCTGACCCTGCAGCCTGGTGACAGCCTCCCAGATGGGGAAGGCTCCGACCCCCAGCTTTGGTCTTCCTGCCTCCTAGTGGCCCAATGAGACAGGGAAGGGGCATCCAATCTCTGGGCCCAGGCCTAAGGCCGCCAGCCCACAGAGCCCACTTGCCACCCTCTCGGGCACTGCCAGCCCCCGTGGAACATCCGGGAAGACGCCCGTGAATCATGAACTGAGGTAACCTGGGCCAGGCTGGCCCGCTGCCCGGGACCTTGGGTGGGAGGAGGAGGCATACCTGCGGGGACAGACATGTTGTCACTTTCCCCCAAGCTAAGTTCTCCTTGGCTACTTCTGCTTGTAGTGCCCAAAGCCCCAGCTGACCACGCACTTCAGGATTCTACCCTGTGGCCTTGTCCATCCTCCGATGCGGTGCTTGCTCCCACCGGCTGAGGTGAGAGCCCGGTGGGAACAGAAAGGACCCCTGCTCTCCTGCCCTCTAAGATGCCCAAAAGTCAGACACGAGATCCAGGTAGACACCACTCTTGAGTTTAAAAAGTAAAGCGTATGGAGTACCTACTATGTGCCAGCCTGCTAGGCTCACACACGTACGATCTCACATCAGCTCAAAACATCCTGTGAGGTGAGCAGCAGTCCCTTCTACAGATGGCAGCACCAATGTCCAGGGAACTCTGAGTGACTTGCAGTGGGTTCCATGGCCCGGCAAGTGGGGTGCCAGGGGTCACACGAGGACGGGCTGACTGCCTCCTGCTGGCTCCTCCCATCCCAGCGATAAGCATCAGCACAGACACTATCACCATGCCAGGCCCTGCTCCAAGTTCTTCACATGCACTCACTCATTTAGTCCTCACAACAACCTCGAGGTGGGTACTGTTAATATTCCGATTTCAGGAGTGGGAAACTGAGGCACAGAGGACTCGACTGTCTCTGGAGCTCAGATATGAACCTAGGCGTCTTAGCCGGGAGACTCTGCCCAGTTTCATTTCACAAGGGAAACATCTGTCATTTCCCCAAGCCAAAG